ATGTCCAACTCATTTACTAAATCCTCTTTACTTATAATCAATTAATTTTATTGTATTTTTAAGATTAGTTGTCAATTATTGTCATAAATAATGAATAAATGAAATTAACTTAAAATTATACAAAAGATAATATTATTTGGTTTTATTTATAATTTGATACTTATATCCAATTTAATTACAATTTGAAAAACAAATATTGAGTATCGGTTTTGAAGTAATTGTTGAAGTGTTTGAAGTGTTTGATGCAAATATCATTGGGAGACCCGTTAGGCCTCGAGGACAGGGGCGGCGGTGGTTGTGGTCACTCGTGTCACTCCACAGTATTGGGACACTAAATAGAAATTATTATTAGTATTATATCTTTACATCACTTACTTTATAAGAGTTGCGTTCAATTTATATAAAGTTTGTATTTATTTTTGTTTATTTTTTACGATTAATCTGAAGTTTAATATGAAAGTGGGCGATAAGTGAAAGCTTAAAACACTTTATACAGTATTAAATTCAAAGTATTCTTAAAAATAGAGCTCAATTATCAAATTTTTATATTTAGTTGAAAAATATAGTTGGAGGTCTATTCGCCCACAATTATCACATTTTAAGTTAGTTTCTGATTATAGTTATGATTGAAATATTTAAACAAATTGTAAGATTTATGCAAAAGAAAGTTTGAATGTATGCTTACATTGAGTGATAGAACACGATCGCCGACAGCACTCGTCCACTACTCCTCTCAGCATTCGATGAAAATATTTATTGTGATTATTGTTGTGAGCATTGCTTAAAGACAATGAATATTTAGATCCCTCGATGTTTTCGTCTTCGGGGCCGGAATTGTTCTCATGAGCTGTGATTGAATGTGAAATTAATTTAATGATAACCAATGAATTCACGAATTCGTAACGAATAGTGAAAATNACAATAAACTTTGTTGATAAAATATTTAACATAGATTTTCTAGTTATATGCATAATTGCCTAAAGATTTAGTTATGGTATAAATCATAAACATCTAAAGATAAGTCAATATAAGAAAGTAAGTGATTCCACAATACAAACACTGTATGCAATGTTATACTGTATAGGAAAGCATTGACTTCATTGACATCATTGACTTCTTATGGCCAGCAATGTGTGTAACCTAAGCATGAAATAACAGATCAATTGATATTATGTTAAATAATACTAAAATTTGCTTATATTTGATAGTATTGAAGGACGAAAACAAGAAAATCTGTGTTCATATAAATTGTGGACTTAATCTTACAAAAGTCATTTGAAGAGTGGAAATAACATTAACTTTATATAGAATCTATACTACAGTCTATAGTATATCTATATTATTAGTTTATTGTCAAAACTATTAAAGCATCTATGATTTGATTGCAGTTATTCTTTGTGTTAATCAATGCTTTCAAGTTAATTGTGTTTTTAAAACATAATACAATGAATGGGATTGTAATTGTATTTTAAGACATACATTGAGAGAAAAAGAGTAATTCATAAGAATAAAGTGTCGAAACTTATTGAGACTATGATTGACGGAAATCTTGATTTATTTCAGTTTTATTTAAGTTAATAACAAAAATCAGTGGCATTTCTCCTACGTTTATGTCAATGTCATATACAGAATGCACAGAATATACACATTACACACACCGACTGTTGAACACATTCAGACCAAATGCATCAACACATCCAGATTGGGGCTCAACGTACAGAAGAGTATTACGTTAGGCATTAACGCCAATCACTACCACCACTACATAAATAGACTAATAGGCGCAGCAAAACATCAAATCGTACCATAAAAATACACTCTCATAACAAAAAACGTAAATTTTTATTCGCATTTTCTCAACAAATCTCCTCAAAATCCTATATAAGGTATACGACAGTTACGATACATAAGAAAAGTTTTGGACACTTATTCGCAAGCTTTTAGGTTAGAGTGCAGACCAAAGCGGACACTGTTTACAACTTTACAAAGTAAGTGCTTTTACCAAAACTAACACTATTTTTGCTTTTCATATCAACAAATTGACAACTTTTATCGCAACAACACTTGAATTGTATGAATAATTGTAAAAATAAATCATATATTTAGATGACTGCGACAATGATGTTCTCCATAACGAATTGCACCAAAATATGTGCTTTAATTCTGCTTCTGGTGTCAATTGCTTTTGCATTTCGGGATCCAATCAATTATATGTACGAAACACATAAAGTGGAAACTCGATCGTCAAGCAGACAATACTGTGGAAATAACTTAGTCCGAGCCCTCCATCTAATCTGCGAGAGCTATAATAAACGGAGTCCTCTTCCCATTCATTCGTTTAGATTATCCCAAAGTAATTGATTTTCACTATTCGTTACGAATTCGTGAATTCATTGGTTATTATTAAATTAATTTCACATTCAATCACAGCTCATGAGAACAATTCCGGCCCCGAAGACGAAAACATCGAGGGATCTAAATATTCATTGTCTTTAAGCAATGCTCACAACAATAATCACAATAAATATTTTCATCGAATGCTGAGAGGAGTAGTGGACGAGTGCTGTCGGCGATCGTGTTCTATCACTCAATGTAAGCATACATTTGTACTTTCTTTTCCATAAATCTTACAATTTGTTTAAATATTTCAATCATAACTATAATCAGAAACTAACTTACAATGTGATAATTGTGGGCGAATAGACCTCCAACTATATTTTCAATTAAATATAACCATTTGATAATTGAGCTCTATTTTTAAGAATACTTTGAATTTAATACTGTATAAAGTGTTTTAAGCTTTCACTTATCGCCCACTTTCATATTAAACTTCATATTAATCGTTAAAAATAAACAAAAATAAATACAAACTTTATATAAATTGAACGCAACTTTTATAAAGTAAGTGATCTAAACTTATAATACTAATAATGCTTGATATTTAGTGTCCCAATACTGTGGAGTGACACGAGTGACCACAACCACCGCCGCCCCTGTCCTCGAGGCCTAACGGGTCTCCAAATGATATTTGCTTCAAACACTTCAACAATTACTTCAAAACCGATACTCAATATTTGTTTTTCAAATTGTAATTAAATTGGATATAAGTATCAAATTATAAATAAAACGAAATAATATTATCTTTTGTATAATTTTAAGTTAATTTCATTTATTCATTATTTATGACAATAATTGACAACTAATCTTAAAAATACAATAAAATTAATTGATTATAAGTAAAGAGGATTTAGTAAATGAGTTGGACATTGATGAAATAGAAATGTACATGATCATTTATTGGAATAAAGTGTTGTATTGAGTGGTGTATAGTTAGGTGCAAGAAGTGGTGCCATCTGTTGAGAGGTGTGTAATAAGGATAGTGTGGAAAGCTATCAGTGAAAGCCATATTGGATTCACCCCTAAATTGTCTACAATTGAGAGCCATTTATAAATTAAAAGTCCAGTCTTTGGACACAAATCACTGATTTTGAAGGCATGAGAGTTCACGGAAAGGCTTGATTTGTGCGAAATGTCATTAATTATCATCAATTATAGCCGATATATAGCCGTAATTGTGAGCCAATAGTGGTTTTTCAGTGTTTTGTCGTTTTTCTCACAAAAGCCTTTCATTGCATTGAATTCAAGGTAAGTGCGAAACCCATTGCTTTAAGCCATAAACCCATAGACACTATACTATCGGACACTTAATTGCAGTCAAACACTGCTTATAATGGCATAAAAGCGTTGATTCGCTCACTATTTGCCACACAATCGAAACAATTAGTGATTTAATAGCATTTGAATGGATATAAAGGCGTGAATGCATTCAATCGATGGGTTCATAGAGAGACACATTGAGCGCACGTTTGGCCCCAAAAAAGTCTCATAAACTAATGTTTGTGTCGTTTATAACGAAAACTTACGTTTCATTTATTTTTTAAAACAATTTATTGTATATTATTTGAGCACTAAATTTGATTTCATTCGTAAATTCATTTAAAATATTCAAATATTTGTCTCAAAAACTAATCGTTTTCCCAATTTCTATATCTATTCATTTGAATTAAGCATTTGACTGATCGGTGATGTATTGCCCCCCAGAGGGCCCCCCTTTGGCCCCAATTCTTACCGATTCTTTAATATTAATATTAAATTTTGTGTTGAATTCTTGAATAATTAGTAAATTTTAAGTCAATTTTAATTGTTGTTAATTTTTGTGATAAAATGTCCAAATTGTGTCATATATGGTGTCGTTTAATGTATTAGTGATTAATTGATGAATATATGGATTACTAGACCTCGGAATCAGTGACCGAAGACACGGATGACGGGACGCGGCGGTCGTTCGACTCGTCGGGGAAGACCCCCAAAGAACGCGGAATCGGCCGAACGTTTGGCAGCACTGAAAAGACCTCGATATCTATATCCCGGCGCTAATCACACCGAATTGGACGAGACGTCCAACGCTTCCAACAGTACTAATGCTTCTAAATATAAGACCCGTTCGAGCGGTCGACTCAAGAAGAAGAAGTGGGACGACAGCGACGAGAGTGATGTCTACGACGACGACGTCAATGATAGCCAATCGCACAACGAGTCCGACACATACGAGAGCGACGACAATACACACGAGTTCACGGATTTGGACGAACTCGACGAAGATGTGGACAACGAGTCCGCTGAGGACGGATCGCAATCGGGTTCCCCTAAAAAGAGGCCACCATTTCGGGCGCCGCGCGTCAAAAGTCCCGTTTTCTTCGAGGACACAGAAGTTGAGGAATTGATACTTCCGGACAGTTCTGAAGACGTTCTTCTGAGTAATGAGTATCTGATGCAAGCCGTCTGTGTGTACGAAGTGTTGAGACATTTCCGAAATATATTACGTTTGACTCCTTTTCGATTTGAAGACTTTTGCGCCGCTCTTATGATCGATGAACAGAACGGACTCTTATCTGAAATACATTTACAACTAATCAAAGCGTTATTACGCGAAGACGACGTCTCCAACACGTGGTTCGGACCGCAAGATCTTCGAGATTCGATTAATGTGTACCTATTCTTCAACGACTACATCACTTGGCCGGATGTGCTTCGGGTCTATCTGTCCGCTGATATGAACACTAATCGAGTTGTACTTAACGAATGTCTAACGCATAGTGAATATCCATTCATTCGCGCCGACAAGAAATTGCGAGTTTTGCAGCACTTATGCGACCAATTCTTGACAACAACACCGGCCAGAGAAGACTTAGTCAATGAAGGCATTATCAAACACGACGACCACTGCCGAGTGTGCCATAAGTTGGGTGACCTTCTGTGTTGCGAGACCTGTTCGGCAGTATTTCATTTGTCGTGTTTGGATCCGCCACTCATTGAGGTGCCAAATGAAGAGTGGATTTGTACTGTTTGTAGAGGCAATTACGTGAATGGAGTCACAGATTGTGTCTCTGAGTACGAGAAAAGTGGTTTCCTATGCAGACAAGAGCCGCTCGGTTGGGACCGACACTCTCGCAAGTATTGGTTTCTTTGTCGCAGAATTATTATAGAGTCCGAAGACGGCTCGAAAACGTGGTATTATTCGACAAAAGCACAGATCGAAGAATTGATTAATTGTTTAGACGCCGAACGATACGAATTAGATCTTTGTAAAAATATTGAAGAGATTATGGATGACATCATTAGACAAACAGAAGTGACAGAAAAGTTAACAAACGCTGTGAAGGGTTTGCGAAAGAGTTATTTAGAAGTGGATAACGAAAGGCTCACTAAAATACAGACCGAAAGGGAAGAAAAGAAAAAGAGCGAAGAAAACGATGAGAAAAAGGTTAACGGAATCGAAGACGAGAGCAATGAAAACGAGAAGAAAGAGTCGGAAAAAGAAAGTGACGAAAACCCAAAGGCGGGAATTCTGACACGTCTTAAAACAGGTTCAATACAACCCAAACCCATTAATTTGGATCCATTGAAGAATAAGTCATGTAATACTCCTAATGGTAAAGACGACGACACGCTTCTCATCCTTAATAAAGATGGAGATCTGACTCGAGTGTCGAAGAAGACTATAAGCGCTTCGAGTACTTTGAACTCAATTCTATTCAAGTTAGGAATGGAAGCCAATTACAAGTCATACCAAAACCAATTCATATCTAATACTCTATCACTCAATAAACACCAACACTCGGAGGAAAGGGATAAACGGAGACAATTGAGCCATAAGTTTAGTCTAACGTCGGCCGCTGACCTCAAATGGCAGGGAGCGGTCTTCGGCACTAGGAATCTGATTATTGCCACTCTTAGACAAACGATATTACAATTGGAGGGCCAGATATCGGTGCCATTCCTGCACCAGAATTGGCCGCTCCATCGGCCAAATTGGCTCAAAGCGGTCAATATGTGCTCAAATGCTAAAGATTTTGCATTAGCTCTTTGTATATTAGAGTCATCGATGAAACCGGTGCTGTTCAACCCGGCGTGGCTCGAGGCCATGGGCTTCACTTGTCTTCATAGGACTACTTTCATGGAAAGGGAAGAACACAAGAAAGTTGAAAAGAGAGAGCGAAGGGATCAGATAGAGATACAAGAGAATCAATTCAGATTCGGTGTCGGCGTTCGCTATGTTTTGGGAAGAATTAAACATCAGATTTGGAAACAGAAAGGAGAAGAATACCGGTTAACAGGAAGAGGAGCGTGGCTTTGGAGGAGTACCACTCGAATCAGCCACGAATTGCCGCCAAAGAATAAACCGTTGAATGTAATCGAAATCCCGGAACCGCTTAAAGAGAGTTTATCTCAAGTGTCGACTATAAATATCAGCAAATGTTTAGCAGAAGAATCTGAAAAACGATATCTTTACCCAAAAATATACAAAAGGTGTAAAGTTTTGGACAATTTATTGGAACGAAGAGTATTAATGAGACAAATCGACGACAATGTTGTCAAATGTGAGCCTATTATTAAGAAAGAAGTTGAAGAGCAAAAGGAAACGACTAAAACCACTCAAGACGACAGCCTTATATCGAAATGTTATTCCGGGTTCTGTCGGTCTGACAACGGAATACCGAACGCACAAAAGACCTGTTATTCGAGTGTTTGTCGTTTGGAGTCCTTTAAACAGAAGGAAGGAATTAAAGTGAAGAAAGAAAACGAACAGCAAATGGATTGCAAACCAATTATTTCGAGCGATGAGTGTCTGGATAGCGACCAAATTGCCGATTGCTGTCAAGTGGTCTCTTTGGCTAAAATAGTTAAAGTGAACGGTGTTTTACAAACTGCCAAACGAATTGGTCGTAAGCACGTGAAGGGACAGTTGCCTTCTTGTCCTCGATTTACGACTTGCAAAGGCAAACGAAAATCCATTTTAATTTTGCCTCAATTTGAGTTAAAACGCTTGTCTCGAAGCGGAGCTCTTCGGGAAGTAAGTGGTTTCAGTTATACGGCAAAGACTAACCCATCCATTTGGCCGTACGGTCAGACACCGCGTCCCATATTCCGCACGTCTTGGCTCTACCGAAATCAAAAGATAGAGTCAGTGCACGGCGTGGCCACACAATTGCGTGTCCTCTGGGCTAACATACGTTGGGATGATTTGTCGGCCAAACCTCCGCCTTCGGGCGCCAATACAGTGACCACTGAAACAGAGGTCCAAACCAGTGAAATACTCAAACGCAGAGAATTAGCGCCGTTTGGCATCAGATCTGAATATTTAGTTCGAAGAATTATAGTTCCGATCGAACTTCCATCAAAACCTCGAGGTATTTGCCATTAATCCAACTTTTATGACAATTCTGTACTTAAATTATATTTTATTGATTTTAATAGAAAAATCGACTCCAATTCGAAGCGGTCTACGAGAGAGACGTCGACCAGAATCGCCACAATTAAGGGGTCCCTCAGTAACGGAGTGTTGGGTTCCCGAAGAAGAGCTTGAATTGTGGGAAATTCGACAATTCGGTGACAAAGTTGAAAAACAACAACAATTGGCTAAACAGAAGGCATTAGAAGCGCAACAGAAGGAGAACTCAGAGAAGATTAGAAAACAAATGGAAGAACAGCTCAAAAAACAAAGAGAAGCTCTGCATCAGAAACGTCTGGCAGAGGCGGCGGCGAAGGCGGCCACACCTGTGACCCCGACTTCCAGTTTAACGCCAACTAATACTCGGTTTACGAGTATTATTCAAAACAGAGGAATGAAACGGATATTTACTTCTCGAGGTATAACTCCAGTCGTTTCAACAACCGTTACGCCAAGAGCTCCGGTACCCAATCAATTTGCAACTGTGCGCACACCCGGCGGTCAAACCTTTCGCATACCTCTGTCTGTACTTCAAGGCAAGACTCCGGGACAACAAATTGTTATCAGAAGCTCAACAGCTGTAACGACACCTCAAGCTTCCACTATAAGTACTCAATCTATACGAACGCCGACCCAAACATATATTGTTAGGACTCCGACGGGTCAGACAGGAATGAGGCCTATAATCCTCAATCAGATCCGCCCGACACTAACTCAACCCAATGTTAACACAACGCAATCGCCAGTACTTCAACGTCAAGTCCAGTTACCCATCCGTTTCCCAGACGGGCGAATGCAGGTCTTGCAGATTCCGTTGTCAGCCATCGCCGGTAATCAACCGATTCAGATAGCGATCAACACTCAATCCACGACCAATTCGCCCACCGTTTTGTCCAATTCTATACAAATAATGTCTTCTAATAATAATAACGCGACTACTATTGTAACCACACCTCAACCCACTTCACAAACTCCTCAAATCAGAATCATTACCAGTAATACATCCACTGGTGGACAACCAGTTGTTACCAAATTAGTACAAATGCGTCCACAACCGCAACAGACTGTCCAACAAATATCACAAACGCCTCAATCCATACAAATACAGACCAATCAACAGATCAACCAATTATTAACACAACAGTTACAGAGCGGCAAACTTCAGGTAAAACTCAACTCCAGCCCAACGGTTACCACATTACAGACTACACCACAAAGACCTACTATTGTTACTCAACTGCCGCAACCGGCCATCAAAGGCCAGACACCAATTGTTGCCACCGTTCGCATTGAATCTAAAGCCAATCAATCATTGACACCAACGGTCATCAAAACTCCTGAATTGATTAAAAGCAGTTCAATAGTCGCTAAACCAACCGTTTCTGTGGTTCCAACTGAACCAAAGACTCCAACACCTCAACCGTCGACTCAAGTATTGAACAAAGACTCGACGCCAACGGCGGCCGCGGCTATCAATTCACAACAGTTTGTGTTAACGTCTGAAATAACTCAAGAAATAGTACGACAGGCGCTCATGAATCCAAATGTGGCGCCAGAGATACAGCAGAAGTTAATGGCACTGCAAAGACATCATATGGAACAGGAACTTAAAGACCCCGCTATTAAAGCCAAACCGCAGCCAATTGTCACTCCAGTGACCACCAGTCGTACTAAATCTGCGACCACTTCGCGGTCGACCTCTCGATACAAACCCCGACCAAAACCAATACCAATACAAATGACTGAAGAACAGAAGGAAGAGTCGGCATTACTGGCCACCTGTCAGTCAGTGATTAAGTCTATGTTAGATAAGATTGATAGAGAAGACAGACCTAAAGGACAGTCGAGAAGCGCTAAGAAACAGAAACACAAGGCGTCGAACGCCGAACGGCGACAACGCGTCAACTCAAACAAACTTCAAACTCTTCTTTTCAGACAAACAGAACTCTTAAAGAAAGATATCATTAGAAGAAGAGCTCTGTTGGAGAAGAATCTCAAGATTGAGATTCAAAATGAGTTAAATACAGTGTTTAGTCCGAACTTTACAAATAAGACGAGTATAGACAAACAGAACTCTTAAAGAAAGATATCATTAGAAGAAGAGCTCTGTTGGAGAAGAATCTCAAGATTGAGATTCAAAATGAGTTAAATACAGTGTTTAGTCCGAACTTTACAAATAAGACGAGTATAAAATCAGTGAACGGTTCGCCGACAAAAGGTGTCAACTCTAGCACCAAACGAAAGTCAAACTTTGGGAACAATAGTTTGGTGATCGACGAAGACATGGATATTAGCGATGAGATAAGGCCTCCGAAGCAGAAGAAGGCGAGGCATAATTCGACGTCGCCTTCGGTGTCACCCAAAAAAGTTCGGTCTTCTCCGGGAACTCAAAAGGGAAAGGGTTTGCAAAATATGAAATCCAACTCTTTGTACTGCATTTGTCGCCAACCGTACGATTCCTCGAGATTTATGGTGGGCTGCGATATCTGCTCGAATTGGTTTCACGTCGATTGCGTCGGTCTGACCGAAGTTCAGGCCAAAAAAGCGGATCAATATATTTGTCCCAATTGTGACCGAATTAAGGCCAAGAATAATGAGCTCTACTGTCTGTGTCGGCGGCCGTACGACGAAAGCCAGTTCTACATCTGTTGCGATCGCTGTCAGGACTGGTTTCACGGCCGGTGTGTCGGTGTCCTGCAAACAGAGGCCAAAGCCATCGATGAATACGTCTGTCCCAACTGTGAGAGCAATTCGCAAATCAATTTCGCGAATTTGAAACAATTAAATGCCAAAGACTTCGACAATCTTAAGAAACTACTCAAAACACTTCAGGTTTCGATCACTACTTCTGCTTTTAATTGACATTTATTAACAAAACTATTGATTATTAATTACAGACACACAAGAGTTCGTGGCCTTTCTTAGAGCCCGTCGATCCCAAAGAGGTTCCCGACTATCATATAGTGATCAAAGAGCCGATGGGTTAGTACTAATTCAATGCTCAGCCCATAAGACACTGACAGTGACTGACGATCTGTTAAATAATGTTTTAGATCTGAAGACAGTGGAGAAGCGGCTGAACGACAAGAGTTACGAATGTTTGGCCAAATTTATCGGCGATATCACCAAAATGTTGGACAACTGTCGGTATTACAACTCGCGGACGTCTCCCTTCTACGCCTGCGCCGAAACACTCGAGGCTTTCTTTGTGGCCAAAATCAAGTCATTCCGGGAAGCGATGAAATAAGTGGTCAATCCATTGGTCCACTCATTCGACACATAACTCTATATTTATTGCAATCCATACGACATCTGTATATATGACAAAAACTTGACCACAATTTTTGCCACAAAAAACAGCATTTACTTCGAGAACTAGTTTTTGCTAAACTAACCATTAAATTGTATCAATAATTTATAATTAACTTTTGTTTTTAATTTTAACCCATATTTTCGTTTCGATTGTAATTGTATTCAGAAATTGATTCAATTATTGTTAAAATGAGAATAAAATTAATTTATTTATAAAATAAGTGCTATTATTGTCGCGAATTTGAGGGAAGTGTGGCTTAAGAACAACTACTGAGCCCTCACTCAGTAGTACTGAGACAGTAGTCATCACAAGTCAAGAATATAAAAGCAATCCTTTTTGAAGCCAACAAATAGTGTCTTTCAATTGACACCAAATTGAATGCATTCAAAGTTTGCGATTATATTCATTCAAAACGACTCGAAATTATGATTAATATAACGAAAAATTATAAAAATATGATGAAATGGATGTCTAGACTGCGCTATAACTTGTTAACAGTTTTTTGTATTGAAGCAATTGATTAGAAAAGTGCAAAACCTTTTCACACACAGACCTATAGTCAAGTTAGAGAGAGTTTGCGCTCATTTCACTCAATACAACACAACATGTTGTACTCAATGAGTGTGTGTTAGGGGTCAGCACTTGTTGTGCAGTATTACATGTGTTTATTATATCCGACGATCGGTCACTCATTTCCATATCCGGTAAACAACTTATTGACAATTAAATGAAACCATTAATTGGTTTAGTGTCTCTCCAGCGGTCATTCACTTGGTTTTATACTTTGACTTCACAACTATTTAGACGTATTGTTTGTATAACCCCTGACCCGTACCACCTAAGCAAAGCTCTAACCAATCAAATGCAGTGCTTTACCCGTCATTTTCCATTGCGAGCCCATCACTCTGTATGCCTTATAAGACGCGCTCAACACATGCAGAGCTTAGTCTCACTCTCGTCTCGAACGCCGACGTAAACTCCATTTTACACATTAAAGTCTTTTAAAACGTGCTCATTGTCTCAATCATTCACCACTTCTTCACTCATTTCTTTTGTTCACTCACGACAAGTGACCAACTGTTGGCCACCGAGAAGTTCCGCGCAGAACTTGTCCTCTCAGTGCCAAAACTTTAAACATTATTTTATGATTTTACTAATATATCAAAAATATATTTTGTGTTTATCGCGAACAAGAAAGAGTGACGTTATTAATGATGGTTATTTATGTCAATCCCATCTCTTAATAGTATGATCACGACAAATGCATAAAGAATAGTGGCAAACATTAGTCTAAACTATCGGTGGCGAACCTATGTCAACACTATACAGATTGACTGAATGCAAAATCGTCACACTATAATAATCACCATACCGTACATATACAAAGGACAATCGGCAAATTGGTTCAAGTTGGCAATCGGGA